GAAAATGGGACCTTGCACAATTTGAAATAAGGTCATGTACAATTTTTTGAAAATATGAGTAGTTTTTTGAATTTTGCACGGAAAACATGCAATTTGCAAACTTGTTATACAAGTTGTATTACAAGGCATTTGTAAACTGCTTCAAATTTTTGTAATAGCCTTTGTAGGGTACAGTCAATTTTTGAACGTTGTAAATCTACATAAATGATGGTTTTTCCTTAATGAAATCATTGTATAGAACTAGAACTTGAAATAATGTAAATGGAAGTCTCTGAATTTTTGAAAGTTGCAAATGCAAACGTTCAACTTTGCTTTTAAACGATTAGAAAAATTGAGGTTGCTTTCAAGCTGGTGGTGTAGAGTTTATGTGAATAGTATGCTGACTCTTTAGAGCCTGAATTTGAATCTGTGTGGAGAAAACTATTGCGAGTGGGGAACACTAGGTTCATGTAGTGTTCTTATATTCTGTAGCTATAACAAGTAACGTAAGAAAATATTCACCATTGGATTTCAATTTCTGAAAGCACAAATACTTCACCTAAAATGATGCATTTACTGTGTTCATTTGCAAACTTTGCTCTACTTGTGAAACAAATGAGAGAATATTTGAAACCATTTTTGAAAAATTTGTTGGGGTTTTATGTAAAGTATTTGTGAGTAAAATAAGTTCAAGATTAAGTTCAAGATTTCTTGCACAACTTCTTTCTTCTCTTGAACATTTTCAAATACACTCTTAATATATTGAATCATGAACACCACACACGCACACTCATGCGCACACACACTCACACTCTCACACACTCACACACTCACACTCTCACACTCTCACACTCTCACACTCTCACACTCACACTCTCACACTCTCACACTCACGCACACACACACACACACACACACACACACAATGGACACCACTTATTGTTAAGACATCAGGACACAGATGCTGATATTAACTGATAACAATAGGCCAATAATTCTAAAGCAGATAATCTAATAAAATAGACTGCTGCTTCTTTAATTAACTGTAGGGAAAAATTTCATCCATTATAAAAATTCATTCTTGCCTTTATTCAATTCATGCCTTCCCTAAACAACGAAAACTTATAGCAATTTAAAATCATTCTGGATTAAGGTCTGCCTCATTTTTTTACTTTCTCCCACTTTCTAACATTAGAAGTGAAAGTACTCTAATTGTGCGCCGGAAAACGGCGAATTTTCGACACTGAAACTTATTGCTGGGTCCTCTAACACATGGTGTAGCCTGAATCTATGTTTTGTGCATCCTCAATACCGAAAAATCACTTGACATCAAAATGTCTGTTTATCTGGCTGTGCACAAAGCTTCGAAAATTGCACACGCACACGCAAATTTCTGGTTTAATATTGTTTTATATCCAAGTTGTGGCATATGTCATCCTAGTTCATTTGATTGTGTAATTACTCTTAATTGCAATTTTAGAATATAATTTATCAGATCAGGTCAAATCATTCACATAATGGACATCCAACAGTAGAATATAATGACCAGATATATCAGGCACAAACAATAGTGTATGATAGCCTCCTTGATATATTTTTGTGTGAAAATTGGACCAAAGCATACTCTGAAAATGACTACAATCTAAAATGGAATCTTTCCTAAAATTCTTAATTACTGTTTAAATGCTGCTTGTTCCCTCATCATAAAGTCTAAAGCTTGTATAAATCACAAAATAAAACAATTCAAGTTTAAATGGTTAACAACTTGTTGAAAGAAATGTATCCATTATATAAAATAGCATAAATGACCTTTTACAAAGAATTCTAAATTTTAAAACTGTAGGAACACCTTAAAATGTTTTCTCAATTTTGGCGTTGACAAAATTACTGATAACAATGAAAAAGTAAATACCAGGTGTATGCCTAAGTTTTTGTGGTGAAGTAAATGTACATTTCAAGGGAAATTTATTTCAAAGTATTGGCTTCTACACACTTCGCCCATCTTTCAGGTAATATGAGTGCCATGACAGAAAAACTGCTCGTCTTTTGTGGCAAACTATTCGTCGAGCCGTTTTCCCACTTTCTTGAAATTGCTGAAGCACTGCTCTGCCAGCCCATGCCCTATTAATGCAATAGGGTAGTACTAGATGGCGCCATGTTGGGGAATACAGCGAGTGTAGAAGGATGCCCCATCCAAGCGATTTCAAGGTCTTTCATTGGTTTTGTTGTGTAAGGCGGTGCATTGTCATGCATTTGCCATTCCTTTAAATCGTGTAAGATGCATTTACCGAGTTCATTTATCATCCCCATTGCTCATAAACATATGCTGATTGTTTTTTGTGATATTTAATGATTTTGCCAATTGCTGTTGAGTTGTGTTGTGTCAACATCCAATGATGCCTACAATTGCTTGTCTTCTCACTTTTCTGGTCTACCAGAGCGTGCTCTGTCTTTCACACTGAAATCATTACGTTTTAATTGTTGAAACCATGCCTCTGATGTTCTAATCGCTGGAGTGTGTCCACAATATGTTTCTACCAGCAAACAATGACATTCCACAGCCTTTTCCTTTTGATTAAGTATGAACAACAGTGCTTGCTACAAATGTTCTTGTTTCAGGCACAAACGTCGACATGAACTCTGAATGGTACACTCTAGTGTTTGGCGGACTTAACTTGTGTCTGTTTGTAGGTTAATGTCAGACGAACAATCTGATGTAGTGTCAAATGCATAATTTTTGCTGGAGCAATCTCTTAGTCAAACTGGAAAAGACTTATACATACACCTTGTATCTTTCAGCTTGATCAATGTGTCTGTCATGCAACTAGTGCAGAGATTGACAATTAGTAATTTCAAAAGTAGTAAAAGTATGATTTTGATGAGGCATCACCAATTATGTTAAATATCAGTAAAAGTAGTTTAATTAGAATATTGCGGTATTTAATAATTAGGTCTTTTAAGTAACAACTCGTGTAACAAAATACTTTTTCTGAAACATTGAAAATGAGTATTATAAGGTTGTTATATAAAAAGGAAATAACGTGGATGTAAGAAATTGCCATATGTTTCTATTCATGATTTTTGCAAAGTTATCTTGCAAGTTGCTTCTAACTAAAATAAATAGCTTCTTTGGCTCAAAATACAAGGAAAACTTCAACATTAATGTAGAAACCGGATACATACACCTGCTGTCTCTCTTTGTGTTAAGGACGGTTGTTTTTCTTTTATGAACATGATTAGGCTGATAAAGCAACAAAACAATGCAATAGGTGCAATTTTAAGCTCACAGTAGACAGTCATGAACAGATTTACATAAAAAATGTAATCTTAAGTCATAGCTCACTCTTTATGCATACAAGGTACTTGCACTTCCTGAAATTATAGATCAACATTTCATATAGAACAGAAATTCCCATAAATAATCTTCAACAAATCGTCACTGATTGTTTACTTATAAGACTGCTATGCTTAAAGATGATTGTTAGTGTGTAATGATCTTACTACTGATCTGCAGTTTTACAAACTTCCATAACATGTTAAGAGAAGTGGAATATTTAAAATCACATTATACACCTATACACAGTAAAACTTGGCTCAATCAAGAACATATATAATGTGGAAATCTGTGTAATGTGAACATAAATCGCACTCCTGGCAAACGTTAATTCTGTGGTATTACAGAAATTCCATACCAACATCTCACTGTATTTGTGGTAATAATTTTAATATTTTGAGATGTTCGTAATCAATACTTTTTTGTATAATATACATGTCTAAAAATAAAAATGTGTTTGTAAAATATTTTGTGTCATTGATGCCTACATTTTTGTATCATACCTAGAAGAATAGGAAAACTCAAAATTTCGAGTAATACATTTGTAAACATTGTATTCTATTTTACATACTTATCTATGATTGTTCTGTTTTAGTTTGCATCTGACCACCATGTGCCTGCAGTATAAACCGACTGTGGTTGCTTGCTTTTGCATCCACCTTGCTTGTAAATGGTCGAACTGGGAGGTGAGCATCCTAGGTCTTCCTAGAAATTTGTTTATTTTATCGTGGTTGACATTTGCATGCCTCTTGCCTAAATGTAAATTTACAGGCCTATTGCAATTTTGCCAAGTTAAGACTCGGCAGTTCTTTATTAAGATCAGTATGACAAAATCAAAATTGAGAACTTTATTGTATGATTGTCAATAACAAAACATTTAAAATTACTCATACACATAGCTTCCAATTGCCCTAAGATTTATGGTTTATTTTCTTATTTGAGTATTAGTTCAAAAATTATTGCTAGATTTTATTTGTCGTCCCAAGGAATAAATAAAAGTAATAATGAATAAATCAATGAAAAGTAATTTGAGTTATTTTTGTCATATGTGACAGCCCTTGCAAATGTATCTTGGATTAGATGAGAACAAGTTGCTTGAGATACATATCAGATGGACAAAATAGTATATTAGCTTTTTATGTTTTTAACCATTCTACCTGATCAGAAAATTAGATGTTTGTCTCCTTTTAACAGTAGACTTCTGGAGTAAGTCCACCAGAACTTAACAGTTGTTGCCATTTTTTATAGATATAGATTGAAATACAGATACAGATATATGAAATTAATCCTAATTTGAATCTCCCCCTCCTTCCCCCCCTCTCTCACTCACTCTCTCACACTCTCTCACTCTCTCTCACTCTCACTCTCACTCTCTCACTCACTCTCTCTCCCCCTTCCTTCCTTCCTTCCTTCCTTCCTTCCTTCCTTCCTTCCTTCCTTCCTTCCTTCCTTCCTCTCCCTCCCTCCCTCCTTCCACTCTCTCTCCTGGAGAATTCATGAGTTGCAATTTGCAATATTATATATCCATTACAAAAGATATGAGAAAGGATGTGCTGTTGATCTGCCACTTAAATAGTTGAAGTGTGTGTTTCTTCTTTACAGATCCCTCAATCAAATGAGGGAAAGGATTGGTTCTGGTATGTTGACAAGACAGTAAGCCTAGACCAACTTGAGCAACTTACTGCAGAATTCCTTGTCATCTTTGATAAGTGTCCCACAAAGTTAAAGCATAAAATCAAAAGTATCAGTGCTACACAAAATACCTCAGTTCCCCCTTCAGTATCTGGAAGTCCATTTGTAAGTATAGTGTGTAATATATATGAGTTTATTTCGAGAATTTTGTTAAAACCTTATTCCTTGATTTAAATTCACGCATCAAAGACAACCTCCTATCATTACTTTATCTAGTGTGTTATCTTTTGATTGAATTGAGACATGAACTTGTTTCTTGGAAGTATGGTTACATGTGTTGATGAGCTCTGCTTATGAATTAATTAATTTTCTGGGCAGATAGGAGCTAGTTATTTTGCTGCACATCTGTACACTGGAAACAAGTCCACCTCGTCAATTTCTTATTATTTATCTTCCTCAAAAGCACATATATTTAATTTGGATGTGAACTTTGAAAGTAATTGAAAATAATGAATAAGAAATATAATAAATAATATTGAAATAAATAAGAAATTGCTTGCAAAAAAGCAAATGTATCAATCATGGACTGTGTTTTCTTGATTGAGGACTCGGAGCCACGCAGAGTGCGACCACCTGGTAGTGAAGCAGCTTCCTCCTGCACAAGTGGATCTCAAGATTCTGGACTGTTTAGTAGAGCTTCCACCTCTACAGCAACTGTGGGTTCCGGTATCCCACAAGATGTTTCTGCTGGGAGCTCTTGGATGTCGCAACACATTCCTTCTAGTTCCTTGCCCCCATTGCCAAGAGACCAAGTTCCTGCCTCCCAACCTCCACCTCCTCCTCCACCTTTGAGCAGTGCAACTAACTATAGAGACTACCGTGAAAAGAAAGAACGAGAACGGCAGGAACGTGAGAAACTTGCTCAGTCAGCTAGCGGCACAGTGTCATCTTCAAGGTACATAATTTTAATTGTTTACGATTAATGAAACTTTTTATTTAGTTAATGAATGTTCAGTAGTTTTTGTTTTTGTAAAAAAGAATCCTCTTTGTATTGTAGGTTTTACAATATTAACAGTGCTTGTTTTTAAGTTCAATAGGTTGCTTTTTACTCAGGCTGTTTGTTATTCACAATGTAATTTTTAATATCAGTTACCCTTCACTTAACTGAGTATATTGTTAATGTTTTGTAATGTGATGTTAATTAATTATACTCTTTTTCCCTTGCGTGTTTGACTGGTGTTAATTTAACTCATCTGTGACAGGAATTGTGTTGTCCAGGAGTCGTGTAGTGTTTACTGGTGACGGAAAATTCCTTCTCTGCCTTGTTTTGTTGAGGTCTCTTTTAATCAGGGTGGCCACTGGAAAACATTAAAAAACGGGAAAATGAGGGAATTTCATTGCTCCGGAAAAGTCAGGGAAATTGTTGAAGATCCCAAGATGTCAGGGAAAAGTTTGAGGTGGTTATAAATCAAGATGTTATTCTATGAAAACATTAGTACATTGCCATTTTTTGCTCAATTTTTATTTACTGAGAAAATATTGTTAATTTTTTACTTTGTCATGGCTGAATCACACATTAACCAATTACTAGTATAAAATTACAAATCTTATCTGGAAAAAATAAAAATGCTCTGGAAAACTGGAAGAACTCTGGTAAATATGTGCCAGGAAAGAAGCCACCCTGTTAAGGCATTGTGATGGTATAAAGTAGTAGCTGTGAAATAAGTGTAACTGAGCAGTTGGTAGCAATAGGAAAATTGTTGCAGTTTTTCTTCAATATGTAGCTTTTTCTTTCGCCATAAAAATCAATTTTGAACATAACCTAGCAACCTTGCTCTTTACATGTTTGCAGTCAAAATAAACCAACCTCAGACAAAATGGGCACCTGACCACATGGTCCCCAATGTGTTAATATTTTCATTTTTGTCAACTCCTCTTTGCCTCTTTGAGATATTGGTTGATGCAATTTGAAGAGAGGTTCACCACAGGAAAGTGAACGAATAGGGCAAATGGTCCAATAATGATTTTTGAGTTCGTATTTGTTGAATGACTATACTTAATAGTTTTTCTAGTTAATTGCAACTGTAGGGTTGCTTTCCGTTCCAAGAGTAGTTTAGTATCTTTGTATGAAGATGTCTGCTGATAAACTAGTGATAGTTATTTTATTTTGTGGCTCAATTGAAGATCTGTCTTGGTTCGTAAATATTTTTATTGTCACATTAGTTGTGTTTCTTCAAACACAAGTAGACTTCTGTAGTGCTTTTTACCAAATATGTTGGATTTTGGCAGAAATGGACACTTGCAGCTCCATCCATACTATGGAGAGTTTGTGTGTTCAATTAATAAAGGAATTGCGACTCTTGATTGCCACTTGTACAGTTTAAGAACAGAATTAGTGTGGAAGTTAATGCAAAATAGGGTGGGCAATTTCAAGATAGAGCAAATATTTATGGACATCAAGATATGACTTGTTGGGCAAACTTGTAATGGCATGGTTTACCTCTATAAGAGCATTGTCTTTTTCAATGGCACCTTGCTCTAAGTGAAAGCTTTCCAGTTTGCTATAATATTTAGAATTACTGCGTTTGCAGCATCAACAGCAACTTGTTCAATGCTGAAGGTTCAGAAAATTACCATCAATGTTGAATTTAAAAAGCCAAAGTGTTTAAAGGATACAATTCACAGAGAACACAAAAGACCTCAAATCTCAAAATTAGTCACATGAACAATACAAATCTAATAATTCTGACTTGTGTGCAAATTTTTCTGATCTGTCACTGACATTGTGTCTAACAAGAAGTGATTTTAGGGCAGTTTGTTTAAAACTTGAAAATGTTCAACCCTAAAAACTTTTGGCAGTGTGTTAATTAAAAATAGACATATTGCTAAGGTTATCCAAATATTATGTATTGTAGAAATTAAACATTTTCCTTTATTTTTAATAGTTTTTAATATCTCAACCCTGTTGGGGTGAATGCCATGCTAAAGTCACCCTAATTTAATTGTGTTCTTTGGGATCATTGCTCAATGGGTGTGAGTTACTTGCATATAAGACAGTTTGTTAAAATTAATAATTCTGTCTACAATTGTGTAATATACTAGTGTACGGGTGTAATAAACTTGTTTATAGGTACTTCAGGTACCCGAGTGTCTTGGCTTATATTTTTGTGCCTTTACCATACTTTTTCATTGTGGTTTTGTGATTTGTTGAGCTATCATGCATTAATTGGAATTAAAAGAGGCTTGACAACCTATCATTTAGTGACACAAGACTATACATCAAACACTTCTTCTGTGAACGGTAATAATTTTGAAATGATTTAACCTGTTAAGGACTATTTTCTATTACAAAAAGGTTTGAACATAGCAGAGCATTGTCTGGGAGCTTCAAGGGGCACTGCCCTTCCAAATAACTCTCCTCTTTCCTTTCCATTGTATAATATTTGATGTTAAAGTAGTTGTTCGCCATGTTATCCTTCGATTTCAGAAATCAAAAAGCCTGTCATTTCATGTCCTGTGTTTTCCTTCATTGGTTAGGGATTTTGAAGAACTGTGCCATATTACAGTGCAGCCAAATTTGGTGTTGGTATAAGCCCAATACCTTACAGTTGTGAGACATGGGACTTTAAAATGGCGGTTGTCTGTGGGTGCAGCAGGGGCTATGGGACTTTTGATCACGGTTTTCATGCAAAACGTCGAGAGCTACTTACTGGCAAGGTTTTGAATTCAGTTTCAAATACGTGTCCTCTGATTCACATGAGCAGCTACTGTGTGGGTGGGTGGGTGTGATAGTGTGTGTAGGGGTGTGCATGTGTGATTTTACCAAAGTAGATTGTCTTGAAAAATTTGTTTCTTTTTTTCTTTTCGCAGACAATCTAGAGATGATTATTTCGTAAGTTAGCATAGTTGAAAGGTGTGGTGATAGTACAATATTACTTTGAACTGCAATCTCAGTTGAGACACTATTATTATTTATCTCTTTATGTTTCTTTTTTATGGGTTCTCTATGCAAATTTCATCAGAATTTATGCTTTTCTACCGATTTGAAACCAGGCAAATGCATATATAGCTTTTAAGGCATTATTATTATTATTATTATTATTATTATTATTTTGTTGTTGTCGTTGTAATGAAGGCAAATGGGTTCAATTTCTGGATTTAGTTATGTGAAAATTATTAGATGAATTGTGGGAAGCTTCCGCTTTTGTGAAAGCAAATTGTTTAAGTGTATTTGTTTCTTGATTATGGCCTTAGTGCATCAGTATTGCCTTTAGTGTCTAAATTTTTGTTTAGTAAGTTGATAACATATATTTTGAGTGTTGCCAATGGCACTGTCCACTATTTATTATTCATTGTATTATTTACTTTATATTGGTTCTACATTCATACAACACCGTTTCCAAAATCATTATTTCATTTCTTAAAGGACCAAAGGGGACATGCGCAGACCCACTGTCAAAATGTGAGTATACAGTTGATACTGGTCCACTTTTATATTTCTTCCTTTCTCTTCAATTCTTTGGTTCACTGCACATCCGAATATCGACAGCCCAGTTTCAAAAGACATCATCTCCAAATTCTAAAATTTGTGATATTGCTATTTTAAAATTCAATATTGCTCTGGAAATATCCGTTACATCACTTGAATTTGAAATTTGTCATAACAGTAGAATATTAATTATAAATTTTAAATTTAAGAAATGTGACCAACATTTGTAGAACAATGTTAACTTTAAAATAGCAAATCTCAAACATAGAATTTTGAGTTGCTGCCTTTGAAACAGGGCCATCAATATTTTGGGAATAATCTTCCGTTTAGAATTAGTGACTTTGGTTTTGGGCTTCAGATTGTGGTGTTGCGCATCTTCATAAATACCAATTGGTCTATGAGATGAAACTTTATATTGTATAATAATTGTTAAGGGGAAAATTTACCATTACCATTTCTTCTTCCTCCTATTCTTAAGTTAATTTCTCTTCATCCTTCTTTTAACACTAATTATATTACCTACTAGATCCTTTTCTTCATTAATGTAGTCAATTTTGCCTGTCCATTGTCCCCTAGTTTCACTTTTATTTGAGTTCCTCTTAATTCTCTAGAATTTTAGGTTCCATTTCTGTGTTTTTATTTTGTCATTAGTTGAATTCAATGGCATGGTTTTGCATGGTTTGCTGTTATTTTTTTGAACTTTTTTATTTTTGGTTCTGTGGTATAGAGTCAAATTGGTGCTGGTAATTAAATTTGAGGTTTGTTGGTTTTCTTTATTTTTACTTTTGTAGAGTCCTTTTCTATTTTTCTTTTGTCAGACATAAACACTTGAAAGTATTAATTTTTCAGCTCAATTTCCTAGTTAATATTGTGTAATTGTTACTGTTAATTGGACATTTGTGTGTGTGTACCTTATCGTGTGGTAAAACTAGAACAAGCAATAAAAGTTCGGTTTCACTGAGATAGAAATACACCAATCAAACAATGTGACATACATTGTAAAGTTTGAAGTATTTTGGTAAAAATTGTACTGGTGTATTTTAGCAACCAACTATTGGTAGTGCATGAATGAAAGAGGTTGCCTTGAAGGAAAGAAAGAAAAAAAGAAGAAAAAAAAACTAGTGGATTATAAAGGTTAACCGACAAAAGGTTTCAAACATTATAATAGGACCACAAAAAGAAAAATCTTTTTAGCCTTTATTGTAATTAAAAAATAAAATGAAAGTTCATAAGGCTCGTAAGATATATAGAATTGTCACTGGAGAAAGATGACTTCATTTGGTATGTATTTTAATGACTTATTTTCACTTGACTGTATAGCCTCTTTTATCAATCTAAAAGATATTTTTGAATAATATTGGTACCAATGCGACCTGAGACTTCAGAGCGTACGCTTCCGCAACCGGAGTCAGTATTGAATTGTCAGTAATGCATTACGCCCTGAGGAAGGTCGCCTGATGGCGACCAAAACATTGGCACTTTTGCCGTGGCCCAGACAGCTAAATTCACCTGAGACTTTTTTGAAAATCTTGTCATTTTGCTATAACTAAGCCAACTATTTCAGTGCAGAATTCTCCTTGAAAATGTATAATTATATATTGTTAGTTATATCTGCATTCCATTTACAAATATTGTCATCCATCAAATGTAGTAGTGTGTAAAATTAACATTTTTTAAATATATATTTTACTATCATTTGGGAAAGATAAAGATTGTGAGAATTTTTCATGCTTACAGTAGGTGAGATTCAGTACAACCAACATAATGAGAGTGAATAGAGGATATCGACAATATGCTTTGTCTAGGAAATATTAAGAATTATTTTTGATTTCTTTCTGCAAAGAATTTTCTGTACAATGCAGATTTCAGTGAGTAGAAGGAAAATTTGGTTGGATGTATTGTATAAACCTGAGTATTGTAATTGTATTGTATAAGAAGTAATTCCAATAATGTTAAAAAGAAAAGGGAAAAAACAATGAAAACTTCATTCACTTGTAAGATTATACTTGAACTGGGAGAGTACAAAGGGAAAACTATTGACAGTATTCTACTTGTATCAAAATTTGTTTTAATGATTATATGATATTTATGAATTGCTAACCTAAGTTTCAACTACCCTACATATTCCATATTCCATAAGGTACTAAAAATTAATGTACGCAATTTGCATAATACTTTGTTTATTTTCCTAGTTAGCTTGTTCTTTCAACAGTTCTGAAAGTGTTGTTATTTCAATGGATATTTTGCATAATTTTATATTTGGTGACATATTAAAAAGACATTGAATTATCATGAAAGTAATGTTTTACTTATTTGTTTCTTCACGAGTTGAATATTGATGTAATTAATTTTATTTTTTTAGGGATGGACATCACCATCATCATCACCACCATCATGGAGTACCTCCTGCCACGTCATCGTCATCATCATCATCTCATCACAAACCATCGTCATCTTCAAGTACACCTCATGGAAAACCACCTCCATTACCTCAGCCTTCAACTTCTACACTACATTCTCAGCAATCTTCATCTGCTTCAAGTTCCTCAAGACCTCCACCTGGTGTTACTGCTGCACGGGATGCAGCTAGGCGTGAAGCAGCTCATGCTCGTGATGCCAACAGGAGGCGGGCTGCTGATCCATATTACCGATCAACACATGAATCTGAAGCATCATTTGATCCACAATTAAACCACTGGTCGCACACACCAGAAGACACAGCCAACGATCCACGCCACAGAGATAAAGAACGCCATTCTGTGTCACGATTGCCACCTCCACCTCCACCTCCACCTTTACCACCTCCTCCACCTCCCCCACCCCCACAGCCTGCAGGCAGGACCAAAGAAAATCCACCCCAGGTGACAGGAGGCCTACCAGATTTGGGAACCACAATTAAAATGGAACCATCAGACCCTGTTAAACACATTAAGGTGGATCCATATCCAGTAAAAGTGGAACCTGACACTAAACAACATAAAGTTGACTCTAACAGCACTGCGCCCTATGGCCATGTTGTCATAAAACAAGAAAATTCTGATGTGAAACATGTTGATAAAAACTATAATAGTAGCAGTAATGTTAGTAGTAGCAGTGGAAATATCAGCAGCAGTAGTGGTGGTGGAAGTAGCAGTAGTAGTAGTAGTAGTAGTAGTAGGCATAGACAAAGGCCAACAGATACCTTCAGTGAAGGTTCTTCTAGGTATGATGGCCGTCCAAGAACTGCTACACCACCAAAAGTTGAAGCTAGCAATGGAAAAGGGACACATACATCAATGCTACCTCCATCTGCCACCCTTGCTCAGCAACCTCAGTCACAATCCAGTCGTTCATCTCAGCAATTGAAAAAGCCTTCTTCACCACATCATCACCACCACCACCATCATAGAGCAAGATCTCCTCATCAACCTTCACAGACTAGTACTTCTATGAAAGCACCATCATCTACTGTAGGAAATCCTCCTTCTAAATCATTTTATTCCACTTCCAAAACTTCATCATTACAAGAAACCCCTGCACGCAACGGTACAACGCAGCATGAAGAAGTAACTACATCTGGTTCTAGCAGTAGTAGTGCCAATAACAATAGCAACAGCGGGAGTAATAATTCAAGTAGTAGGCGAAGTACGTTACGACAACCATCCACACCACCCCGGACAGAAGCTGAACCATCCTCACAAACATCGCCAACAACAGTGAAATCAAGTGATCGGAAATCTAGTTCAAATAGTACAAGGGAATCACCTTATGGGCAGCGATCGAAAAGGCAGCGAACTCCTCCCAGTGCTTCGAAGAAATCAGAATCCTCTTCCGCCCAGCCAGTGGCACCTCAGGTACCACTTGGTGATCTCGGTACACCTCCACCACCCCCTCCACCACCTCCTGTTGCTCTGTTGTCACCATTTGGATCTCCTCCTGTGGCCCCTTCAGTTACATCATCTGGTGCTCCTGCAACTCCTGGTAAGAGCGTTACTACATCAGGAAGATCATCTCGTTTGCGTACTAGTAGCTCCAGTAGTGAACCAGAACTTGTTCCACTTGTCACTAAGCTGGATCAGATTGCTGGCTTCCAGAACATTGGTAACAGTATGAGTATACGATTGCCGGATGTTTCTGGGCGTTTACCTGATACAAGAGTGCCAGAGCTAATTACTCCATTTCGTGATTCAACTGCTGCAACTGTTCCTTCAAGTGCAACGACAACAGCACCACCTGCACAAGGAGCAACAACAATATCGACAGCAGCAACGGGGACAACAACACCTGCAGCTAGTTCTGTTTCTACTACTGCTATTATTTCTACAACTACAGTTACTACTTCTTCTGCTTCTAATAGTTCTCATTTACCATCTTCCCAAACTTCTGAAGCATCTTCAGAAACAAACAAATCATCTCAACCTCCAACTCAATCATTACCTCCACCCTCGGTTCAGCCACCCCTGCCAGCAACTTCAGCACCGTCTAGCCAACAGTTGTCAACTCAGCAACCTCCTACGGACTTAGGTGCTGTAGCTTTTCCCTCTCCAGCAACACATGCTGCAGTTGACCCTGATGAAGATGGGCTTTTTGGATCTTCATCGACTGTTCTTGATGTTGTGATGTCTGAGCAGTTACCGTCATTAGACAGGATGCTGGAACCTGGAGCCCTTCCTGCTCCTGATGTAGCTGCGGTTCGTAAAACAGGTGAGCATCATCACAAAAGTGACAAGAAGAAGAAAAAAGAGAAACATAGGCGCAAAGAAAAAGACAAAGATAAGGAACGAGACAAGGATAAGGAAAAGTCGCCCCATAAAGTTCATAAAATGAAACACAAAAAGGAAAAACATAAAGAGAAGTTAGATATGCCCAGTGCATCAGGTGGAGTGACTACATCAAGTAATTCAACTGTGCCACCACCATCTGCCCCCATTAAAATTACCATCCCCAAAGATAAATTAAACTTATCATTGGAACCCCCTCATTCTGTGTCGGGATCTTCTGAAACATCAACGCCTTCCACAGGACTTAAACTTAAAATACAGAAAGACAGACTGAAAGTATCAGAAACACCAGCACCTATAGCAACTGCAACTGCAACTGCAACTGCAACTTCCTCAACTCCTGGTGGTAGCCTGAAAATTAAAATTAGTAAAGATAAAATTGCAGTTGCGACTCCTAGTAGTAGTGGTTCAAGTGCATCAAAAGACTCGAGGAAACGAGACCGTACAAGTCCACGTGGAGGAGAACAACCTCCAAGTAAACAATCTCGCTTAGAGGGGTCTTCCTCATCTCGGCGATCTGGTAGTAGTGCATCTTACAATAAACAGAATGGTGTTCCTGCAAATTCTGCATCTTCAACATCTGCTCAACCTCAACAGTCATCTCGGGGAAGCAGTTACTCAGTTAATAAGGTATGTTATATGTAAAGCTCTACCATAGGATGTTGTTATTTTTTTCTTCATGGCTATGTTATCTATTGTATGTACCTGATTATATGATGAGTTTTTCCCCATAAATATATCTTTCGAAAAGTATAGAATTGTCTTATATCTGTAGATTAAGAAATCCAATAATGTGAATTTCAGTTATTATATTCTGTTAAAGAAAATCTTAGAACTTAGGAACAAAAGCACGACTGGACAGTGACACACTGCAGATGTTCTTAGGTGTTGGGAGATAAAAGACTAAGGGCCGAATTCATAGTCGTCACTTTTAGGATAAGCGAACCCTTAAGTGATAAGTGTTTTCTCAAAATGAGTTTTCACTTATAGGCGCTCGTATTTTATAGACGTTCCTTACGACCGCGGAATAAGTGTTCCCTTAAGCGGAAGTGAAATGCTTCTATGAACAAAATACTTCTACGAATACTACTTCTAATATGTCCTCATACAGACAAAACGAGATGGTTTGATGTTGGTATATTTTACTAATGTGATTACTACCAATCATTAATAACAAGCGGAAATGTAACAATGTAATCTAAGATTCTCATATAATTTCAATGACTATTTGACACCGGTATTATGTTAATATTTTTAAAATGTACTTATTACAAATCCCTAATAATAAGAAATGTTTGGTAAATAATATAATCAATGAAACTCGTATCAAAACTTTAATGAATCGCTGCAATGCCGTGTGCATTTTCTACGCATTATTTATGCGCATTATTGGATTGTAATATAATACTTAACATCAGTTTCAATTGATTCCTCAATGTTAACATATGCTCTAGTATAACTAATGAACATAAAGTAGTGATATGGTAACATGGTATGAACATAAGTCTGCCAATATTGGTAATGGATTATTAACATTTCATGTGATTGAAAATGTCAACCCCATATAGTACTAACATAAATTCCATTTTACAACAATTTAAATTTCTTCACTTGTTATTCATATTGCAAAATCGTAATTACTTATAATAGGTCTTATAAATCAATATGAATAAAAGTTAAAAATTTTGGAAACATTTCTGAAAAGATGAAGTTGCACAACATCTTAATGCAACGAGAATTTTAATAAGAGGAAATCCGCAATCCTCTTTTAGTATTGGGACTTTGTCGATCATCAATTGCTTTCGGAATCGTTCATTATTCTACATTTCCGATGGGTTTCTCATATCTTGAATATATCTCTTGGAATTTTGCAAGATGTGTTGAGTATAAAACTCAAAATAATCTTTGAAGTTATTTTCCATAACACGTTTCACTAATGATATATTTTAACTGCCTACACTATACAAACACCAGCAAAACGAATTCAATACTCGGTGAATGCCGTGTAAAAGTATAACCTAAACTGGTTACGACTGTTGTTGCGAGGGAGCCAAAAGGAACAATTAAGGGAGCAGGCTGCCTTGCTTATGAGTGCTCTCTTAAGACTTCACTCAAGGGCTGTTTATGAATACGATTCGTCCACTTAAGGGAACACTCAGTATAAGACACGACTATGAATTCGGCCCTAAGTATGCAATTTCAACACCCGAAACTTTCAGGGGCCTAAAGGGTCTGAGGATGACGTAGTACTAGAACAGGACCAAAAAGAATGAACCGATGATTCATGTGAAAATTTGAAGGGTAGGGACAAAATAGTCATGGATCAGACAATAAGTTTCAACATTCTCATAAAGACCATTTTGTAGTTGATTTACAATTTTATTTTGACTAAATAGTAAGAAGTACAGTAGAACCCCAGTATTCTGAACTAATTGGAAGTGTGGTGTGTTTGTATTCATAAATGTTCAGATTATCTGAAAAAATGTACAGTACATATACAAATACATCTGTAGGATTACCACACAACGGAAAGCAATGTAATGTGCGATGTAAGAAAATGGCAACATAGTATAGCGAATGCATCATAAGCAGATTGAGTTGCTTACGGCAAATGATAACTGATTTTGCTAGTTTCTCTAAGTGGTAATTGCTTCTACATAAACATGCGGTATACATTGCAATTGAACTGCTTGCAGACTCAAAGCAAAATGCATCACAGCTCAGTACTATTGACTTTCTGATACCCTTGCATGGCTTTGATCAGTATGTCTCTGGCAGAGGGGTTATGATTTTCAACGCAGGCAGAGAGATGTGTGAATAGAAGCCATGTCCTTACATTTTCCCATGCTCAGAAAGTCAGAAGGGAAAGAATTGCCATATGGCCTTGGCCATGAGAGATCAACGAGCCCAAGGTTGAATTCTTCGCTAACAGTCGAAGCCCTCTCCTCTGCGCATCAGCCATGACTAAATCATGTGTCAGTGGATAGAGGATTTAAAACACTTGCAGATGCATTGTTTTCAATAGGAATATCGTGTGTGTCTCTGCCAATTTTAAAGCAGTCTTCTGCTTTTTAAAGGATTTTTTCCCAGTAGACATGAAAAACCGGTCTGTTTCCACCTTGGACAGATTTCGTTTTAAGCTATGTAAAATGCCATTTAACTTCATGGGTTGGAAAAAATGTTCTGTTAAGGCAGGTTCTGGTTTAGACAGATTTTACTGTAGTTGTGTGGGAATTTATTTTTACTGAAATGGCTTTTATTTATAAATACAGCTATTACTGAAGTGTGGAAGTGTGGTTGTGAAATGTCTCGTTTAGTTCAGTATCACTTCAGGATCTCAGGAGGGGAAAAAATGGCTTTTTACTTTTTGTTGGGAAAGCTAAATAAGCATGCAAGCAATGTGATCACTAGAGCTGGGATTTTAGTGTAATTACATATTTTAATGCTTGCACTTCCAAAACTTGGAAATTGAGAATGTAATCAAATCAATATATCAGTCATTTTTATTGAACATTATTTTACATGTTTTTATATCTATTTGAATGCATTTTACATATTCCCAATCATTTGACCTAATAATACATACTTAAGCATTTTCTTCTTTGTGGGTAATTAGAAGTAGATGTGATTCTTATTTTTTCCAGAGGTATTGAAATTCCTAATTGCCCTTTTTTTAAATAAATATTTTCTTATCCAGCAAAGAGTTTCAAGTAAAAAAAAAAGTCAAGAACACATCTGTGATGTAGCCTTGTATTTCCAGTTGAAATACTGGGGACTGATAATCATGATTAATTGCATGTAAATTAAGCTACTTCTGAAGATTAATTTATTAGTAATGCAACAGTTCCATTCCAAATATTCCATTTTAAATCAAAAGCTTATAGGAAAGAGGGCTTGAAATCAAAAACCGATTAACATTCTTGAGATATAAATGAGAGAACTGGATTTGCGAGCTCAGACGGTGGTGATCTTTAGTGTGAATGTAGCACTCATTCTGTCATCCCTGTCTTCAATGTTAAAATCTTCAGTTATGATTAAGATAATGTTCACAACTGTCATCAAAATAGTACTTTGTCAAGCGTGCAGCAAGCAAAATACGTTGTTCCATAAATCCCAGCTTGAACAGCATGCCCAAAATGTAATGCATACCTGTATGTAAAAAATTAATAAGTTAAAATATATTGTTGGAACAGATGCTTTAGTCTTGACTGAAAAATGTTTCCGGAAAGTGTTCAGGAAACACTTTATACAAGGACACAATGTGAAGATTAGGGTTTTTAAAAGTTGTTTTATTTAATTTTAACTTTTTTTTTTTTTAATTTTAAATCTGATTTATATCTATTAGTGTTTTAAGTCTTCATTAGTTTTAATGGTTCCAGTGTATGATTGTATATAAGCGGTCATTTTATTACAATACACATCACAAGATACCTGACCCATACATTTAAAACATGTACTGCAAGGCTTCAATTTCTTGTTCTAGTTTTTAAAGATAATCATTAATCAATAAACATTGGGTAAAAAGATACTGAGACTATTGTTGAATTTATTCATTACGTAACTAAACACAAAAACTAATATTTATATTTGACTAGGTTGTACCCTGTCTCTCCCCCCTCCGTCTCTCTCTCCCCTCTCCCTGTCTCTCCCCCCCTCCCTGTCT